CATATTAATTCAACATAAACAACTTATCCAGTGACTTTATTCTAGATATCAGTAGAATTCAAGTGTTTATTGGTCTGATTCTACATATAAAGTAGAATTACTTGTATAGTTGTCTGATTCTACATACTAGTAGGATCTAAACAACTTGTTCAATGGTCTGATTCTACATATTAGTAGGATCTAAAGAACTTGTTCAGTGGCCTGATTCTACATATTAGTAGGATCTAAACAACTTGTATAGTTGTCTGATTCTACATATTAGTAGGATCTAAACAACATGTTCAGTGGCCTGATTCTATATATTAGTAGGATCTTAACAACTTGTTCAGTGGCCTGATTCTATATATTAGAATGATCTAAACAACTTGTATAGTTGCTTGATTCTATATATTAGTAGGATCTTAACAACTTGTTCAGTGGCCTGATTCTATATATTAGAATGATCTAAATAACTTGTATAGTTGCTTGATTCTATATATTAGAATGATCTTAACAACTTGTATAGTTGCTTGATTCTACATATTAGTAGGATCTAAACAACTTGTTCAATGGCCTGATTCTACATATTAGAATGATGTAAACAACTTGTATAGTTGCCTGATTCTATATATTAGAATGATCTAAACAACTTGTTCAGTGACCTGATTCTACATATTAGTAGGATCCAAACAACTTGTTCAGTGGCCTGATTCTACATATTAGAATGATCTAAACAACTTGTATAGTTGCCTGATTCTATATATTAGTAGGATCTTAACAACTTGTATAGTTGCTTGATTCTACATATTAGTAGGATCTAAACAACATGTTCAGTGGCCTGATTCTATATATTAGTAGGATCTTAACAACTTGTTCAGTGGCCTGATTTTATATATTAGTAGGATCTTAACAACTTGTTCAGTGGCCTGATTCTATATAGTAGAATGATCTAAACAACTTGTATAGTTGCTTGATTCTATATATTAGAATGATCTTAACAACCTGTATAGTTGCTTGATTCTACATATTAGTAGGATCTAAACAACTTGTTCAATGGCCTGATTCTACATATTAGAATGATGTAAACAACTTGTATAGTTGCCTGATTCTATATATTAGAATGATCTAAACAACTTTTTCAGTGACCTGATTCTACATATTAGTAGGATCCAAACAACTTGTTCAGTGGCCTGATTCTACATATTAGAATGATCTAAAGAACTTGTATAGTTGCCTGATTCTATATATTAGTAGGATCTAAACAACTTGTTCAGTGGCCTGATTCTACATATTAGAATGATCTAAACAACTTGTATAGTTGCCTGATTCTATATATTAGTAGGATCTAAACAGCTTGTCAAATGACATGATTCCATATTAGGAGATTTTTAACGACTTGAACAGCAACCTGATTCTGCGTGTTAGAAGATACTTGTAGACTAACCTGATTATACTTATTAGATCTTTAACGACTTACTCAGTGGCCTACATATGAGGAGATATTTAAAGACTAGTACAGTAACATGGTTTTACATATTTGGAGATCTTTAATGAATTTTGCAGTAACCTAATTTGGCATATGAGGAGGCCTTGTTCTTTATACTATAAGATCTTTATCGGATTTTCTAATGAACGGGTTCTACATAGTAGGAGATATTTAATGACTTACACAGTAACCAAGCTTTATATCGTAGGATTATTCTTAATGACTTGTGACTTGAGTAGCAGCACGGCTCTTCATGTTAGGAGGCCCTTAATGATTTGTACAAAAACCTAATTCTACATGTTAGAAATTATTTACTGACTCTGTGTAGTAACCTAGTTCTGCATGTTGGGAGATATTTAAAGACTAGTACGGTAACCTGGTTGTACATATTAAGATACCCTTAACGACTGGTGCAGCAGTGTGGTTCTACGATATTTAGCGTGATGCGCAGTAAGTTCTTTTTACACGTTAAGCGATCTGTATAGCGACTTGTACAGTAAGCTGGTTTTTCACGTTAAGCGATCTGTATAACGCCTTGTACAGTAAGCTGGTTTTACACGTTAAACGATCTATATAGTGACTTGTACAGTAAGCTGGTTTTACACGTTAAGCGATCTGAATAACGACCTGTACAGTAAGCTGGTTTTACACGTTAAACGATCTGTATAACGCCTTGTACAGTAAGCTGGTTTTACACGTTAAGCGATCTGTATAGCGATTTATACAGTAAGCTTGTTTTACACGTTAATCGATCTGTATGGCGACTTGTACAATAAGCTGGTGTTACACGTTCTTTATAGCTACTTCTACAATAAGCTGGTATTACACGCTAATTAAGCGATCTGTATAGCGACTTGTACACTAAACTGGTTTTACACTTAAACGATCTGTATAGTGACTTTTACAGTAAGCTGGTTTTACACGTTAAGCGATCTGTATAGCGACTTGTACAGTAAACTGGTTTTACACGTTAAGCGATCTGTATAGCGACTTGTACAGTAAACTGGTATTACACGCTAATTAAGCGATCTGCATAGCGACTTGTACACTAAACTGGTTTTACACTTAAGCAATCTGTATAGCGACTTGTACAGTAAGCTGGTTTTCCACGTTAAGCGATCTGTATAGCGACTTGTACAGTAAGCTGGTTTTACACGTTAAGCGATCTGTATAGCGACTTGTACAGTAAGCTGGTTTTACACGTTAAGCGATCTGTATAGCGACTTCTACAATAAGCTGGTATTACACGCTAATTAAGCGATCTGTAAAGCGACTTGTACACTAAACTGGTTTTACACTTAAGCAATCTGTATAGCGACTTGTACAGTAAGCTGGTTTTCCACGTTAAGCGATCAGTATAGCGACTTGTACAGTAAGCTGGTTTTACATGTTATGCGATCTGTATAGCGACTTGTACATTAATCTGATTTTACACGTTAAGCGATCTGTATAGTGACTTGTACAGTAAACTGGTTTTACACGTAACGCGATCTGTATAGTGACTTGTACAATAAGCTTGTGTTACACGTTAAGCGAGCTGTATAGTGACTTGTACAGTAAGCTGGTTTT